ATAAATGTGCATACTTATCCCATGTACATGAAGTATGTACAATTTTTCTGCCAGACTTCAGAGCAGGTACAACTATAACTTTCTATTCTACCAGATATTCTATGTTGCATTCATGAATTAGAAAACAGCAGAAACTTCAAGGACTCAGAACTACTGCTAGATAAGTTGCTTTACTGCAGAAAATAAAGGAGAGAGAGAGAAATCTGACAGCTGCAGAACATGGAAATCATCTCTCTCTCTCTCTTTATGTCAGCCTCAGAGTTTAAATCTTAAGTCTTTTCTCCTTCCTTGAAGACAATAGACTTTTGCACAATCTTTGCCCAACCCTTAATTTGGAATGCACTTGCACATGCGGTCTGGGATGAGCAGTGATGGTTGTACCTCGCTAGCTTCAGCTTTTAAACCTTGTTTAAACCTTGTTTAAACCATGGTTTGCATTTTGATTAGTTCTGATTCTAATAATTAATTTCCTGTTTTGGAGATATCACAAAGCAATGTTTGTGTGATCTTGGAATACTCCAGTTAAGATCATGAGAGACGAAACAGGCCTATATTAATTCTCAATAATACACAAAGTCAACATATAATTCATGGACAGTTTTCATATGCACAGTATGTCCTGGCCCTTTCTGTACTTTAGATTAAATAACTAGACTGCTAATAGATTACATTCAATCATAATTCATAACGTGCAATATGCATTCCAAAGTGGCAGCAGTTTTTGAATTTGTCCATGTAGAGAATTTTAGAACATTTGAAGCAGGCCACTCTGACAGGATGCTCAAAGAAGTAATCCTATCCTGTTTAGGATATAACTTTTGTTTTGTTACCCCCATAATGTCTTAAATAAAATATATAACTAAATGTACTATGTTGCTTATGCCAAGATATATGAGCTATTGCAAATATTTTTTAAATAATTGATTTTATAGGTCCTCATGATGTATTCTATCCATCTGTACTAAGGATCAATCTTGTAGTATAAAGGATCCATCTGACAAGTATAAAGGATAGGAATGTGGAATTATCCAAATGATTTTTTTTTTGTTTTTTGCTGTAATTTATAACAAATTATATCTTTTTTTGAAGAAAATAAATGACCTGAATTAAGACCACTAAAAGTCTAAAAAAAATGTAAGTATAATTCAAGGAACTTTAGACTTACATGTCGCTGGAATATTGCCTTTAACCTAACATAATAGCTAAGTCCACCAAAAATTTGTAGTATATTTTCTCAAACAAGAGAAAATACACTGCACAGCATAATATCTAAATAGACATTCACTTATGGCAGTCAGGAGTTGAGCTATGGTGTTGGCACAGTAGAAAATTAAAGAACTGAAGCAATAATGAATACAAATGCAAAGCTTTTTTTCACAAGAAAGGTTCCTCTTCCAGAGGCATAGCAGAGATGATCTTTGGGCTTGGGTATAAGGCAATGGGCAGTCTTTTGGCTTGGGTTACAGACATCCATCCACACAAATTTATATACTTTTTCTCACTTTCTCACACATACATACACACACAACAGGCTCATGAGAAAGTCAGGAACAAAGGGCGGGTTTTCTGCAAGCCAGCATGCAAATAAGTCAATTCTTTTCCTTATATTTTAATGGGTTTAAGCCATGTATCATACTGATAGAATAACAATGAAACCAGGTAATATATAAACATAGTGCATGGCATTAGTCCAATATCATAGGATACTAACCAATGATGTAAATGTCATAGCTCCTACCCGTAGACTACTGATTTAATAGACTTTGCATACAAGAGTCAAAATCATCTCACACCCTCCCCCAAATTATGGACACGTTTGTTGCATATGAAGTAGTCCAGATAATTATGTATGCTAACTTTAAATTCCATGTTATTTACATTATTTATGTCATTTGCATAATGATCCAATTCTGTAAATGTTTCAGTGTACTTTATTTGCAAGATGATATAATTACCAAATCATTTAAATCACTGCAAATGATCTCCTTTTGGATTTAATGGACAGGAGTAACAAATGTTCTGTTTCCCCAAATGGTCGGTTAAATTAAGGTTTCACTGTTCAAGCAATAAGAGGGGAGGACTCTATTCAAAAGTCTCTTGCACTTCATGCTGGACTATACACACAACATCCATTGTCAGGAGTACAATGAATGAAATAAGAATGCTTACAACATTGCATCCACCACATGGCATGTGCTTTATAGCATCTGCTTAAGAAAGCAGTAATGTTTAAATCCACTGTGACTGTCCTCAGGAAGTAATGACACCTCATGAGCAATTTCATTATAATCTACAGTAAGATGCCAAATGGCCACAGCTTTTGTTTGTTGTTGCTTTTGCACATCAACTTATTCAAGGGACAAAAAAACCTGCAGATAACATCAAAGTCAGCATGACAACATGCACACAAAGAGGAAACAGTGGCAGATACTCCCTGATGATAAAATATTAAGATACATAAAAAAATACCTACTCCATAAGTGAACCATTCAAAAAACAATATGCGGCAGATCCGGCATGTGGAATTTGCAAGCAAAAATCAATCTGTTCAGCAAATAGGTCACATTCTGGTCTCTTCTGACTCAGACTTCTGTTCCCCACCTCCAGCAGTTTCTACTTACCTTGAGCATCTAACTATCACTAAAATAGTAATAAGCTTCCTATAAAGTCCTTTATTCTTTTTTATACTTTTTGTGATAGACTGGAGCAGAACTGGAAAACTCATTACTGGAAGAAGACTGATGTGTCTCTTTTATCAGCCTAATGGCCTGATGACTTCTGTACATTTCACTGTGACAATGAACTACACCCAGGAGCTTTGTAAACATTTTTGTACCTGGACATTTTGAGTGTCAAGAATACAAACCTGCCCATGCAAATTGCTATGAACGTATTGCATATTTGGAAAGTCAGATGCTGGGCTGAGGACTATTTGTTCAGACTAAAAGTGTCATTAGTTGTATAGGATACAAAGTACTCAAATTCTGGCCAAATTCAATTTTTAATGACGTTATCAGCAATTTTAAATAAATAACTGGAAAAAAAAATCAGGTGAGTTACAGAATCAGACCTTACTGATATACATTTGTCAGGCTATATTAGCTTAGACCACCCTTGTGTTACAAAAAGAAAGGACAATCTTTAGAGGAAAATCCAGTTGCTCCTGAGTTCAACCCACCACAAATTCAGCAATAACAGCTTGAGAATAACATTATACATATATCCACTAGTGGTGGAAAGGAAGTGATTGCAAACCATTTCTAAGTCTACCTTTATGTGGCAAATCTATGCATGGATATTCATAAATCAATTTCATTCTGTTCAGCAATGCCTCCTCCAGGTAAATTTGCAGACTTAAACTGATTAAAATGTGAATTCATACAAAGAATATATAAAGAAAAATTGTCTCATAAAATAAAAAGTTGGTGTGCCAACTTTATTATACATTTATATGTATATTATATATTTGTTTTTTCATATATGTTTGCATGTATGTAGATACAATTTATATGATACATAGATACATAGATTATATATATATAAATATATAGAGATATGTAAACACAAGGCAAAAATGTTTCTGTTTGCTAGAACTTCAGATTTCAGCATTAGGAATCACTTCTTTTGGTTGACCTAAATCTAATTGTGCTAGACATATTAAATTCGTCTCTTTTTTTGCCAATTTTCATTCTGATATTTTACATGCCACTGGAACATTGGCTTGAAATCCTAACTTATTAGCATACTAGTATCTGCAGACATATGTTAAGTGAAACCACCTACTTAAAGACACAAATCAATATGTTTTAATGAGCTTTTTAAAAAAATAGTTAAAATTAAACCCATATAAAAAGGCCTAGCAACCTATTTTACATAATGCCAAACAGATCTCCATGGAAACTCACAAACACAGCTTGAAAGTAACAGCTTCTCTTGTTAATTTCTGTCTTGAAATCTACTGTTTAGTTTCCCCAAATTCTAGTGCAATGAAAGAGGAAGAAAAATCCTATTTTTTCACACTACAAATTATTAAAAATGTACTATGCCAATGTGTAGTGATATTTTAATACTAAAAGCCAAAAATAATTTAGCCTTGTCCATATAGTACTTTCACATTCCTTGATAATTCTGGATATTCTTTTATGCAGAATTCCTTTTATAGTTGTGCAAATCAAAATCTAGAAGGTCCTAGAAAACATATCTGCCTGATTTAGGTGAGAGTACCCTTCACCTATGCCACCGTGCAACTATTTCTCCAACCTTCATATGTAACGTATGGAGGTAACTGATAACATATGGAGGTAACATCACACACTGGTGATGTTACCTAGTTGGGTAATGAACTGTCTGCAAGCAAACAACCAAGCTGCACATACCGTATTTTCACATAAATGTCCCAGGAAGTGGAGATAATTTGTAAGGTGGAAAAAACCAACAGTTTGGGAAATGACCAGAATTTTTAATCCTCCTACCATACATTTCTATAAAGTTGGAAACTAATTGCATTAATTTAATTTTTCTTTCAGACAGCTAACTGTGAAAAACTTTTCTTCAGGAAATATATGAATTACAGGCTGGATTTGACATTAGTCAACTCCAAATTAATAATTAGCTGTTGTTTACATTGTCATTCATTTAATCTCCCCTCTACATAACTGTGCAAAATCTAAGCAGTTAGATGGAAGGAAACTTAAATTTAGTTTTAAATTGATCTTTGTCCCCACCCTTGATTGTAATCATAATCTGATTAATTGTATGGGAATCAATTACTTACCTTTTTTAAAAAATGTCAAAACCAACAACATAGTAAAAAAAGTCAGGTGCGTTACGATAATTTTAGACTAAGTTTTTAAGCCGTGCAATTGAAGCCAAAATTGTGGGGGGAGGAGGTTTACATTTTATTTATTTTCATGTAGTTTTTCTATTCAAGTATGAATAATTATATATTTATAATAATTCAGAAACATCTTAATATAAATCAATAATTACATGCTACTCACCAGATATTTCTTCTAGACACTGCTTGGCAGTTTTACTATATGCCAAATCCATTTTTGTAGGACTGATACAAGAGTCAGAAGGTGGGATAGAGGAACTATCATTTTCTGAATGAGCTCTGGAATTAATCAGAGAGATGGAGGGTTACATCTATAAAACTATAGCAATGGTAACTTATAATTCAGTATATTTAATCAAAAATAGAAATATCATTTCTATTAGCACTTCTTTGTACAGATCTACAGTATAAAGTGCTAAACTCTTAATTCTGAGATATTATATTATATCGTGTAAAGAAAGAAAATGTGCCACTAAGATGTATTTGATTAGATATACTCAGGCAAGGTGTCAAAGACAAAATGTTTCTACCAACTTTAATTTCAAGATAGGAAATGAGACAGAAAAAAAATAGGTAAATCAAGCCACTGCTTAAGCCACAAATATGCATGCAGAGTGATCCATTCTAGGAATTCTATTGCTAGAAATAATATCAAACAGGAATACAGCAATATGTTGCTAGTTAAGGCTAATCCTGAAATGAGACCTGTATGGCAAGTAAGAACTAAGAACTGGTAAACTGTCATTAATGGTAGAAAAATAGCAGCTCAACAGTTGCAGCTGATGGGAAGTGTCATCTAACATGTCTAAAGAACACCATTTTGTGAAAGGTATACTTGAAGCTTGCCACTACTGAGCACATTTTTATTGCGAGTATTATATAGGATTGCACTAACTTGTAGCATTACCTTTAGATAATATTATGCAAATTTGTATCTTAACAAAATGCTAGAAAATCAGAGAAAATCAATGTTATTGGACAGCTAATTATAACCAATAGATTTCCTGTGAAAATTTGAATATATAAATAAAATGTAACAGTAACAAAAACAACAATAATAATAAATATTGTGGTCCTACACTCACAACGTGCTAAACTGTATCAACTGTGCCACATTAAGTCTCTACCCAATAACCCAATTAGCTAACTCAGAATAGGTTAGATTTAGTCCCAAACAGATCCATTCTTCTTTGACTAGTGGGGAACTAGTTTAGTCTCAATCCTAACTATTTACCAAGGAATTCGATAACTCTCCAAACTCCCAATCCTGAGACAATGGAATCCCCTTTTTGGTCTCCTTGGTCACTGTCACGCTTTCAATGTAACATAGGGAGATAGGAAAGGGCCAAAAAGGAATGGGAGCAGATAAGACTGATCATGCTAGGTTGTATTTCCCCCTCCCCCAGATGGAAAATAAGTTAAAAAAAAAAAAAAAAAGGAAATGCCAGCTTCACAGCTTCCTTTGTAGCATCCAAAAATAGCTTTGTTGATCAGGCAATGGGTGGTTCAGTCCTCTGAATCATGAAAACACAGCTAGTCTCCCTCAATAAAGCTAGAAGTGCTGTCAATCCCTGAGTTTTAACCCAACTGCAATTGATTATTTAAAAATTACAAATATATATATATATATATATGTATGTATGTATATATGTATATATACACACACACACACACACATACATACATACATACACACACACACACACAGTTTATCAGTTAATATACCAGGTTGGTACAGCAAACGAAAACAAAAGTAGGGTTACAAGAAAAAGGGTTGGGTTTTTTTCCCCATTCTCCTTGGGTGTTACTTATAATATGAATTCCAAATAATCTGAATTTACCTTTTCTAATAAACTTATTCACAGAACAAATCTGACCTCTGTTCACGAGACCAGTTTATTTTCAAAAGAGAAATTCGACTCTTTTCAGTCTCCAATTTAACAAACCACCACCACAATAACCAAACCAACCAGAGGGCATCTTGGGATGCTTTTGCTAAAAACATGTCTTTTGCAAAATAACAACCTGTCAGTTCTTCTGCTATGTTTATGACTTCCAAGTTACTCATCTAATGTTTTTTTTTCCAAACCCATGCGGCATTGTATTTGAAAGCACAGTTCTAAGCAGCATACTTGATCCTGATAATATTTTTAAAAAATGAAATGGCATCATAAACAGAAGCTTGAGTTATTCTTTAAGTCCCCAAGAAAATAAGCAGACAGACATTTTCTCTTATGTTTAGTTTGGCATCTGCTAGTATTCATTCAGATAGTATCTGAAGCAAAAAGCCAGGTTCAGATGTAACACTAAAGTTAGCATCATCCTCTGAGCATGAGCTTGGATAACAGGCTCAAACTATTCATTTTCCCCATCTTCTCATCCTTCACATACGCTGCTAGTTTTAAATGAATAAATGTCATTTTCTGATAAGTCTGAATCTGGGAACCCAATAATTAAAAAACCAACCAACCAACCACAAGTTCAGATTATGCCTTGTTAACTTAAGCAATCAGGATAAATCACAGTTTGTTAAATTTGGAAGCAATTTATTCAAAGGAGTTTTTTCCTTTCTTCTAGTCTCCTAATATAAAACGTTAGTATGATTGTGGGAGAATGACTTCATATAACAGAGTTCTTGATGTGTAGGTTTATGTTAGTTTTAAAGGTTTCTATTTCTAAAAGACTAGCAACTAGGATGATATTAATAAGGAAATTAAGGAGATGCCTGAACATTCTTTCTAATATTGCATCCCAGTCAACGGTTACAAATTTGAACACCCAGTAAAACTCAGCTATATCTCCCATGGGATGACTAGATAGAAACTTTTCCGGGAAGGTAGAAAAAACTATTGAGACTTTTTATGAGAGTGTCTGTTCTACACAGTTCTGATTATACCATGTGCAGAAATATTGCCTCTATTTTGCATTTCTCACTTTCTTTTTAAACCAGTTGTTCATCAAAATCAAAATTCTCATTACTCCTTTTACCTAGTTACTACTTTGACATATTTATATTCCTGGGCCATGTTCTGTAGTCTGCCCCCAATTAACCTCAATAGCCTAAAGATTACTATTGCTAAATGATTGAGGGCAAAAATCAGGCTTTATACTTCTATTCTTAAAATCCATTATTCTTTGAACAATCTTCTCACAAATATACCTTAGCTATTTCTCCCATATTCCAAAAGCTTTGTTGTTAATATGCGTTACAGGCTTTCTGGGGCTTCAAAGCTTCAATGATCTTGGCTAGTTTTTTGGATTAGTCACAGATGTACGTAACTATACAAACATAACATACGTAACTATAACTATACAGAATATCAGGAAAACTGGAACTGAAATCAGTCTTTCACAGATGAATTAAGAAATTAAGAGAGGAAATTAGGGGAAAAAATTCATGGTTATTTGTTTTTTAATCTATTCTTCCATTTACTGTATCTTAAACCTGCACATCTTTACAACATGTATCATTTGAAGTAAATATTTTAACCAAAAATATATCCTAGGAAATAGTTTAGCCTGTTTCTGCTGAGAATCCTAGTACTAGCTTTGAAGGACAGAGTTTGGCATGTTGCCACTTCAATTCCACAACAATGACTGCAAGTGACATAAACTGTTAAATTTACAGGCATGTTGGTGCTTCTAATTTGCCACTTTAGGGACAGAACAGCTTGCAGAAAGCTCAGAATTATAAAGCTTGTGTGTCAACTGTATATCAGAAGTTATAGTGGGTCTTGAAAGGGGATAAAGTAGATTTGTGCAGGAAAAAAATAGATGATTAAAGATCAATCAGAAGCAGAGTTCACTTGTACCTTCCATCTTTTCAGTACTTGCATAGACAATTGAGCAAACAGAGTGATACAAGAGTTCAGTGTGGAACATTTCACTCAAATAGCACATATGTTTCTTTCAGGGTGATTGGCTGCACCAATCTGATCCATGAGTATAAATCTGGGCACATCAATATCTATAAAATCAAACTGCGTCCTTTATGTCTATGAACATACATTTTCTCCCCATTTCAAATTTAATCTGGAACACACGAAAAAATCCAAAGGAGAAAAATCCAACTGGAAAAAGCTGCAAATCAAGGTGAGAGACCTGTGGGCCTTTCTCCTGTTGATGAAATGACTTGTAGCATTCCCAAGTAGTCTAGTCAATAGCAACTTATACTGGACATCTTGTTACTACCAATGGTCTCTCTAGTCCTTTATTTGCCATAAGCAACCAGATGACTCATACACTTGGAGTAAGGATGGCTTCTTAAATGAATTTTCAGACAATTTTGCTTCCATCAGTAAATCTACATCAGTCAGGTTGCTTATTTGAAGTACAAATACATGAATTAGCAATGACACTCATTCTCACAATTAACAGTTTAGAAGCTCGAAGGTAATTTTCAGCTTCATGTGTGAAAATGGTGTTAGAACCTAGAAACACCTTGGAAGAATGTCCTAGGGTCTAGAATAGTATTTTCACAGCCTGAACACCTATACTAGCATAGTGTTATTTTAGCACAGAATGGAAAAATTGAGTTATAGGACATAAAACTGGTATGATGAAGTAACTTCAATGACAATAAGCTGTCAAGTTTCAAATTAAAATCCTGCATTAGCAATAACATTACTGGAAAGATACAGGCAAATTGTTTTCCAAATAATCTACCTCACGAGTTTCTTCTAATTAAAAAATGAAACCCCATACTGGAGCATTTCCTTGGGATAAAAATCTATGGGGGGAAAAATGACAACAGAATGCAAGTGTCCAGCTTTTTATTTCGCCTAAGAACCATGAGCCTGTCTTATGTATCACAACATATATAGTCTTCACTGCTATTTTTCATGTTAATGAAACCATTGCTAATTATTTCAGAATCTGTGACCCAACTTTAATTTGGGGGGGGGGGAACCCTATGATTTTAATTCTTGGTGACAAATGTGTTTTTAAATTCTGAGATAATTAGAAAAAGCCTAACATAGGATTTGCTCCTCCACATTTACATTGGACACATAAATCCAAATGAAATACAGTTTTAATGATATCTAAATGATGTTAGAGAATGCCTAGATCTTTATTAAGGTTTGTTTTCTTAAGGGTGAATGGCTATTGATCATGATAGTTATACATTAAAATTCATATAAGTCAGTATGCCTTTGACTTGCTGGGAACATGACTCAGAGGGTACTAATACACCGGAACCCCACTGACAAATGTCCTATAATCATCTAATTGGCCACTACAAGAACAGAAGAGGGGTCTAAACAGCATTTAGCTATACAGTGGTACCTCGGGTCACGAACGCTTCTATTCACGACCAATTCGGATCGCGAACAGCTCCGTTCGCAAAATTTTGCCTCCATTCGCGAACGCCGGATCGGGTGATGAACAGGATCTGCG